AACTCCAAATAGCAGCTGAGTGCATAACTTCGAAGAGTACATAATACATTTCTTGAAAATATATAAAAAACTCAATCATCCATAATAACATGTAAATATTTGTCTCGCGACTCTGATTTCATCACCATAAATATGTGCCTACGTGTTGGATCCTCAAGTTTTTTCATACATATTGCATGAAAGTGCTTATCAGCTACTGCTTCAAGGATGGTAGACAAAGTTCGAAGACAATTGAAGATAGTGTTGTAAGGAAGTGGAGCAGGCGGTAGAGCTCCAAAAGCATATATGAGTCTATCAAATGAAGTTTTAACAAAATTATTATTTTCTTTCTTTCTTCTTCCTAGCCTGGGCCTCTTCATCTGTGAGCTTGACTCCCCCATCTCCCTCTGGTTAACACTGTGTATTTCTTCTTCAACTACCACTGGCTCTGGTGGATAATCATCCGGTATTCCTGAAAACCCCCATCTCACTAGGGCTGAATGCATGTTTTCTCATTGCCACAACCCCCTTGAACATTATGTCAAGTTTATCTTCAAGATCTAGCTCAATTTCGCTCTGCTTGAATTTTTTTGTTGTCGATATTGCCTATAACATTACAATGAGTGAATTTAGGAGAATAATTATTTAAATTGAAAATATTTGTAATTAACAAAAAAATAGTGAAAATTTTACCTCTAATTTCTCGGCCCACTATTCATCCGGAGCATCAATTATCTGTTTGATGGGATTTCAGCCTAAACACATGGATCCACGTTTCAGCTCCTTCCAAATTTTCCACTCCTTCTTCAATTGATCCAATTTATTTTTAAACTTCAGCATGTCATAATCCCTTCCAGTCAGTTCTTTAACTCTTTTAGTTATATTCTGCCAACCTTCCTTATTGAAATAGGTGGGTGGTCTATTCCCGATCTCAATCTCGGTGATGCAGAGTTGCAGAAAATATTTATAACTTCCTTATCCCACATCGCTGAGGGACCACCTTCATTTGTCTTAACCATAGTAGAACTATATGAAGAATTACATATTGCATAAAGAAATTCATTTTGTAACTCAACATGCAAAAGAAAATTGTTGAAGAAATAATTGCACAAGCACACAGCTGCCAACTTGCTCAAAAAAAAAAGAAAAACATATAAGGATAGAATTGAATTATGTGGTTTGGTCAAAGACCTACATCCACAGTAAGACATCGAATATGCTTTATTATGCAATTATGTAAGGTTACATAGCTATGAATCTCAAGGGAGAACATTACAACATGCAATTCTTCATCCCTTTTCTCCCTTTGGTGCAAATAAAAGTACCGGAACAAAAAAATAGAATTAGCTATTAGAGGCTAATTCAATGAAATAAATATTCATGAAGCTATTAGAGGCTTCATCCTCTTGCGACACCAAAATGAAATGTTACAATGTCTTGCCATTTCACATCTGATATAAAATTAACTGATGCATTCTTCTGATCCACATAATAACAGCTAGAAAAGTGGGAAGCCATATCTGTGTCATATGAAAGCCTTTCATATAATGCATAAGAAACAGAAACATAATGAATTTATAAACAATAATGGATCAAGATACAATTACAACCATTTTATCTTCGCATTTTGACAGATATAAAAGTGGGAAGCCTTTCATATAAAACCAGAATTGATATATGTTATTATCCCCCATGTATAAAAAGTACACAAATAGATATGTATCCATATATCTAATGCTAGAACCATTTTGTAGTCACTTTTTTACGTATCAAAATATCTAATGCCTAAACTTTCATCTTTGCATACAAAGCACTCAAATTTTTAATATCTCAAATTTTTAATATCATGTATTTTTAATATCATGTAAAGAACTGTAAAGGCAATCAGCGCATTGAATTGCAAATTTTATCCTTGTATAGATTGCCACCATATTCTTATGTATCGATATATCTAATGCCTAAACTTTCATATTAGCATACAAAACACTCAAGGTTTAAAAGTGATACATGTTATTCCATGTATAGGATTATTCTAACACAATGGTAATCTCACCAATTCTGTAGAAACCACAACGAGAAGTATACCTGAATTCATGCCACAAGCATTTTGCAAAAACTGCATACAAATTTTAGATCTAGCAAAATCAGAGAAGGGTCGAAAGCACAACTGAACAAAAGCTGCATCCAAATTTCAGATCTAGCAAAATCTAGCAAAAACAGAGAAGGGTCAAAAGCACAGATTCCCTGTGCGATCGATACTGAGATTTTTAAAGAAAACATTATATTGCTTGAAATGATATGTATACTTACATAATAACCCTAGTGTGAAAACTATTATTCTATATTTTATAACATTTCATTTATTCACACTAGTCGCTAATATAAATAGTGTCAAGTTTTTAGCAAACTTTTGGAATATAAAAATTTGTGTAATTGCGGGTCAGGTCAGATCACTGAAGTAATTTGTCCCAACTGTCATCATGAGCAGCGACGCGGGTAGGGTGTCCCGAATCCTAATTTTCCAGTAACGTGCATAGGTGGACTTTGTGACTTCCTAGGCCCACGAGAGGTTCCGAAAGGACGCATGGTGACTTCCAATGATTAAATAAGGCACCAAACAAACCTCACATCCTAAATGGGCCTCCTTGAAGAAATTTTCCCGGGTAGAGCTCAATCGCCACCAAGTCTAGTCAGTTTCCTCGAACAAGTGCTAGATGGTCTCGGGTGGGTGTCTGAGCTACTAGATGTTACAGACGGGTTGTAAATTACCCAGAGTCATGTAGGTGGACACCCTACACTTTTAAAGTTAAAATTTGACACCAACACTTGGATTGACCCGAGAAATGCATCTCTCCCTTGCAACAAAGTGCCTCCATCCTTCTGAGGTAGAGGCTAAAGTGGACAGATAGCCGACACTCCTTCCAATTCCCTTTCTCCAATCACAAAGTTTGAATCAGGCAGGTTAAGCTGACCCTCAACCATCATGTTTGCATCAGGCCCAGTCAGCAGAGTTTTTGGGTGAAACCTTTTTCGCGACTGTACCTCAACAAATCAAATGAGTGGACCACGCCGATCAAACTCTTTCTTTCGTAATCATTGGTTTGTAATCATCTTTCTTTCCTCACAACTCTTTTCTTCTTTATAAGAGGAGGGATCTAAGAGTTGGACTTCACCAGCCTCTGTGGGTCCACAATGATTCAACTGGAACCATCAGCCATGATGCTCCTTAGATACATGAGGATAAGCTAATGGTAAATGGTACAAGTCAGTTTAAGCCTATTTATAAAGCGCACAAGGCACAAAATCCTAAGGGAAGTCAATTATTCAATCAATTCATAATTTTTATGTCAATAATTTCTTACTAGTTTTCTTGTCAATTTCGTAGTTGTCAAGGAGCAGAAAAACTCGAGGAACTAATATGTATACACCAAAATTACTAGCACGAATCTAAAATAAATCAAACATCTCATGACGATGGTTGGACAATCGAGGCATCAGGCTATAGGAATATGATCTTGGCTGATCATTTAACAACCAATAGCCTGGTCGAAGTGGACTGACACACTATTACGAGGGACTCAGTCGGCAGACCACGCCTATAGTCTCGGACCGTCTTAGATCTAGCGAGGGACGCCCAACCGGAAGACACTAGGAGGCTGACATTTTACTTTAGCAGGATTTCCACTCAGCCAGTTGCCTCGGTCTTTAGATCGGACTCAAGCGCATCGACCGGTTTGTTACCACGATATTTGAATTCAAATTGTAATGCTGATTTAATGGTAAACCATCACAATTAAATTGTATTAGCGACGGTTTCCCTAATAATTTTCTATTTTCTATAATTGTACAAATAAGTCCCTATAAATAGAGAGCCAAGGCGCAAATAAAAGGAACCTCTCCCCGTTTTTTTTGTCATGGACTTTTCTCGATTGCTCTTCTTCGTCCTCCTCCTCTCCGTTATAATCCTCGAGGCGTGTTTTCTTGAAGAATAATTTAGGATTCAATAGTATTGACACTTAAATTGAATGATATATTCATAGGATAGGATAAAGATGATATCGAGACAGCACAATAATAACTTTTTTATAATATTACGTTCACATTCCCCCTCCAGATGGCGTCTACAAAGAGTACTAGCCTTGACAAGAAATTGATTGAGATAATGACAATATTAGGATTGAGTTATATCAAACAGATTAAAAATTAATGACATTATTTAGGGTGGAGAAAACCCTGGAGCAAGGGAGACCTCGCCGACGGGGGATAAGAAGAGAAAATTTGAGTTGAGTTTGAGGTTCTTGTACCGTGTCAAGGTTGACTAATTTGAAAGAAACTTAGTTTAATTTAATAAACTAATATTATTTATAGATATTGATTAATATATAAAAAGAAGTCTTTATAATATTCGAATTGAATAATATCATCATTGAGGTGCATTAATATGCGAATTGACTAGTTTCTTAATCGAGTAGGACAATTATGGTGAAAAAACAAGTCGTACTAACGCTTGAATGAATAAGGCAAAACTGGCATGGCAAATCTAAAATACAGTATATATATATATATATATATATAACATTTTTAATAAATCTAAGGTTTTTTAAATACATACCACACAATTCTTATGTTTTTACATTTTAACATCTAGACTTTCATATTTATATACATAGCACAAAAATGCTATATATATATATATATATAGTAATAATATTTCCCTATTGGGTTTGTTGATGGTAAACTTCAATTAGCTATAGGCTCACTATTTCCACTAACTTCAGATACATATACCGTTAAATACAGCCTTAGATTACATAACACAAAATAAAAAGTAAAAATCGACAACCTTCTCCATCAAAATTCTCTAATTTCTAATTTATCGTCGACAAACCTTAACAACTGTGTTGCCTATTGTCGCAGAGCTTAAAAGTTGAACGTTCCCTATATAAATATCATTTTGTGGAGGATAATAACGAATATGAGAATTGTTAGGGATTCTTCCGTTAAAAGCCATGCATGGCATTTCAACTTTCCGCACTTGCAGCAGTTTCGGCTATTTAAACACCAGAATGCATGTCGATATTTCATATACACAGCATAAATGGCGAGCAGAGCACTCCTAATGTCGTGCCTGCGGGGGGAGGGTTTTTCGCGAGACCTAACTCCAAAGCCCCGTTACCCTTCGATGCCGAGATATCCAAAGGATGCGGAAGCCAAAATTGACGTCGAATCCCCGCCGGCTGAGAATCGGAGAGCAGCAACGTTCTCTGTGTTTGGTATGACGTGCTCGGCCTGTGCTGGGTCGGTGGAGAAAGCGATCAAGCGATTGTCGGGCATTCTTAACGCAGCCGTCGATGTCCTCAACAACCGCGCACAAGTTATCTTTTACTCCAATTTTGTCTCCGTAAGTTCCTTCTTTAATTTTGTTTCAACGTAAAGTTGGAATTGCTTTGCTTTTGCTTTAATTTAAACTTTTTCAGGTTGGATTGTGCCAGTTCTTCATATTTCTTTGATTTTTTTTTTAATTCGCTAGGGTACGATAAAGACTTCTCTCATCGTTTGTCCCTAGCCTATTTTATGTTATTTTTTGATCTGTGTCGCTGCAAATCCATGACTAACAATGTTGACAGTTCAACTTTTGCGCTGTTTAAGCATTACCCAAATAATCTTTCTACATCGATTATAAATTCTTGCTGGCGCGTACTGTACAAGCTTATTTTCTACTTCCCTTGACTTCAAATTCTTAATTTGTTGCTCAGCCTTGCTACCAAATATAAATGAGTATATCTATCGAACTTTTTTTTTTTAGAAATTTCATTATATTTTTTTGGTTTATGAATTTTATCATAAAAATGGTTTTTTCATAATGAAATTATAGTGATGAAAATAGGGTTGAAAGAACTCATGTGTTTTATCTATTTATTTTCTATGTGTATATTCATGTTCTCAGTGATTTGAATTATTAGGCCTAATTTCCAGCACCTTTCTCAAACTTTTTTATGATGGTATTATATTTCAACATAGCTATAATAGCACAAGATTGATCATCAAGTTATATGCTCATGTTCATAATTTCTATAAGTTATTAACGCACGACTCCTATATTGATTTCCTCCAAAACTGAAAACTACAGGAGGATCAAATTCGTGAAGCAATTGAAGACGCTGGATTTGAAGCTATATTTATTCAAGAGGACTCCAAAGAACCATCAACCTTGACATGCAGGCTGCATATTAATGGTATGACATGTACTTCTTGCTCCAACACTGTGGAATCAGCTTTGAAATCTGTTATTGGTGTGCGAAAAGCTATAGTAGCCTTGGCAATAGAAGAGGCATCAATTTGTTATGACCCTAAGTTTGTGAGTGCTGAAGAATTAATGAAAAAAGTAGATGAGACTGGTTTTGAAGCTATACTTATTACATCTGGGATAGATAGGAACAAAATACAACTTAAAATTGAAGGAATTCACACAGAAAGATCCATGAGAATGGTTGAAAGCTCACTCCAGGCACTCCCTGGCATAGAGAAAGTTGATATAGATCCCATTCTTTATAAAGTTTCAGTGTCCTACATGCCAGATCAAACAGGCCCTCGTCACTTTATCGAAGTGATTCAGTCAACTGGATCTGGTCGATTCTTAGCAACAATATACCCTGAAGAAGGGGCAAGAGAATCTCACAAACGTGAAGAGATCAAACAATACTACCATTCTTTTCTATGGAGCTTATTGTTCACTATCCCAGTGTTTCTTACTTCAATGGTGTTTATGTACATTCCTGGAATAAATCATGCTCTAGATACTAAAGTAGTTAATATGCTAACTATTGGAGAACTTTTAAGATGGATATTTTCAACTCCTGTCCAGTTTATAATTGGTCGAAGATTTTATATAGGTTCTTACAAAGCTTTAAGACATGGGTCTGCTAACATGGATGTGTTGATAGCATTGGGAACTAACACAGCTTATTTTTACTCACTCTACTCTGTGCTCAAAGCAGCAAGCTCACCAAAGTTTGAGTCAACAGATTTCTTTGAAACTAGCTCTATGCTCATCTCTTTTATTTTGCTTGGGAAGTATCTTGAAATTCTAGCAAAAGGAAAAACATCAGAAGCTATCGCTAAACTTATAGATTTGGCTCCTGAAACTGCAATACTCTTGACCTACAATGAAAGCGGAACTTTGTTGGGAGAAAATGAAATTGATAGCCGGTTAATTCAAAAGAATGATGTGATCAAAGTAATTCCTGGTGCAAAAGTTGCTTGTGATGGTTTTGTCATTTGGGGCCAAAGTCATATTAATGAGAGCATGATAACTGGAGAAGCACAACCAGTTGCAAAAAGAATGGGTGATAGCGTGATAGGCGGAACTGTAAATGAAAACGGTGTGTTACACGTCAGGGCAACACATATAGGTTCTGAAAGTGCTCTATCACAAATTATTCGTCTTGTTGAATCAGCTCAAATGGCCAAAGCTCCTGTCCAAAAGACTGCTGATCGCATCTCCAAATATTTTGTGCCACTTGTAAGTTTTCTTTTAATTACATACTATTCTTTAAAATCATCCTACATTGAAATAGTGAAATTTATTCTTGTTCATAACTTGTTTACTAAATTTCAAATAAAGCATTGAACTTAAATGATCATTTTGTTGAAAATTAAATTTGATATTTGACCCTTTTAAATTTGGGTTTTATTTGAGCCAATAACCTTGAATGTTCTTTAGACAATTATAGACACACTATCTAAAAGGAAGTCTTAGAGTATTCTACAGACATCTTTTGAAAGTGTGATTTAGAAAAGTCTAGAATATGTTAACGACTTTTGTAACAAAAGATAAAAAAATACTCTAGAGAGTCAATTGTAGTCATAGGATTGAAATTTATCGACACAATCCTAATAAGGGTCTCATAGTATAAATAAATATATATGTTTGAGTTTGAATAAAGTAGAAATAATTGAAATAAAAGTGAGTCTTTTAAGTTGTATTCCTCTTTTTTAGCATTATTCATATCCAATTAGCCTTTTATTTCAACAAAATTGTATCACATAAGATCCTTTCTGGAGAGATGACAAGCAATGATATGATTCTGTTTCAAGTCCTAACGCTTAACAATAACAAATATGGCAATTAGAGCATTAAGATAGATGCCCTTCTTTGACCACAAGATATATGGGAGATGGTAGAGAAAGGCTACAATGAGCCACAAGATGTGTCAAGTTTTTCCTAAACTCAAAAGGATAATCTAAGAGATTCGGGGAAGAGAAACTAGAAGACTCTCTATCTAATCTTTCAAATATCAGTGATGAAATTTTTGAGAAGATTTTTAATGCAAAGTCTACTAAAGAGATATGGGAGAAGCTTCAAAACCTCTTACAAAGGAGAAGTGCATGCAAGAAGGTGCATCTGCAAACATTAATAGTAATTTCCGATTACTTGACAAGAGTCTTAGCAGTATCTAATTAACTATAGAGAAATGGGAAGAAGCTAGAAGATGTAAGGATTATGGAGAAGATTTGCCCATCTTCAGATATAATGCTTGATCATATTGTTGTCATCATTAAAGAAATTAAGGACTTGAAGACTAAAATGAAGAGAAGAGAAGAAGCATGGGATTATGGAATAAGTTCTATGGACACAACTTAAATTCAATCAAGGATGAAAACCTTGAGTATGATAGTAGTCAACGTCAAAGTGATCATGAGTGAAGATAAGGTCAAGGTCATGGACATGGATGTGGACTTGATTAGAGTTTCAATAATGACAACAACAACAATAACAATTTTGTACTATGGAAATGATCAACGAGAGGGTGTGGAAGAGAAAAATTAAGACAAAGATATAACAAATCTCATGTAAACTATTTGGTCACTATGCTGTAGAATGTAAAATTCTCAGTAACAATAACATTGAAGAAAATGCTAATTATGTAGAAAAAGAAGTCAATAAGACGACACTTTGTTACAGGCATATAAGGAGAATGAAAAGGGTGAAGAAAATACATAGTAACTTGACACCGGTGTAAGAAACCATATGTATGGTAGAGTAAATTTGTTCGTAGATCTTGACAAGTTGATGATTGATAATGTTTCGTTTAGAGATGAGTCCAAGGTAGCAGTGAAAGACAAAGATAATATCTTTATCTTATTGAAGAATATAAATCACCAATTTATTTCTAATATTTATGATGTGTCGAATATAAAAAGTAACACACTAAGTCTGGGTTATCTCTTAGTGAGTGGTGATGATATTCATGTGAAAGAAAACAACCTTTCTATAAGAGATAATATAAACAACCTAATTAGGAAGATACCAATGTTAAGAAATAGAATATTTTTGCTAAATATTCAAAATAATATTGTCAAGTGTCTTAAAGTTTGCTACAATGATCCATCTTGGTTTGATATAATTGGCTTAAGGCATTTCAATTTTGGAGGATTAAAGCTATTATCAAAGAAGAAAATGGAGAGAGTTCTACCTTACATCAATAACACTGACTAGATATGTGAAGGTTTCTTTCTTGAAAAGAAATTATGGGATAGTTTTCCAAATGAGTCAAATTTGGGAGCACAGAAGCCATTTGAGTTCATACATATGAATGTGTTTGGTTCAATCAAGCTAGGTTGTCTTAGTATAAGTACTTAATTTCTTTTCTTAAAAGATGATTTTTCATGAGAAACTGGCGTATTATTTTTGAAGCAAAAATTGGAGGTCTTTGAAGTATTCAAGAGATTTAAAACTTTAGTGGAGAAAGAAAGTGACCTCAACATCAAAGGCATGCAATCTGATTTAGGAGACGAATTTAATTAAAAAAAATCAACATATTTTTAAAGAGAATAGAATACGTTAGCTATTGATTGTCCAAAGACTTCCTCAAAAAAAATAGTGTGGCAAAAAAAACAATCAAAATATCTTCAACATGGCTTAAAGCATGCTTTAGAGTAAGAGTCATTCAAATGAATTTTAAGCCGAGGTTTTTGCATGTGTTGCTTACCTATCCAACAAATCCCTAACAAGAAGTGTGTGTGGAATGATACCACAAGAAACATGAAATGAAAAGAAGCCTATTATTTACTATCTAAGAGTGTTTGGAAGCATAACCCATGTGCACGTTTCCGATGAGCAATGAAGTAAGCTAGATGACCTAAGTGAGAAGTTCATTTTCATCGATTATAACTATAAGTCCAAAGGTTATAAGTTGAACAATCCAATGACTAGAGAAACAATTATTACTTGTGATGTCGTATTCAATGGAGAAAGTGAATGATTTTGAGGCCCACATGATGGTGATTACAACATCTTTTCACACATTGAGAATTAAATAGCAGTGCAACTAAGGATGGAATAGGAAAGAGATGAGCTTACTACACTAACAACATATGCTCAAGAGGACCCATTATCTTCATTATCTTCAAGTGAAGGTTCAAGCGAAAGAGTACCACACTTAAAATATTTATAGAAAATTTATGAAGTAATTGAGAATCAATACAATCTTACTCTTTTTTTTTTCCTTTTTATCAATTGTTAACCCTTGAATTTTGAAGAAGCCGTGCAAATTAAGAAGTTAAAGGATTTCATTAAAAAAAATTAAGATGACTGAAACGAATGATACTTGGGAGCTAGCTGCACTTCTAAAGGGCATAAAACAATTGGCATAAAGGGGGTGTACAAATTAAAGAAGAATAATAAAGGAGAAATCGAGAAATATAAAGCAATATTGGTAACAAAATATTATAGCTAACTTGCTAGAATCAACTATGATGAGGTATTTGCTTCTATTGACCGACTTGACATTATTAGGCTAATCATTTCTTTGACAACTCAAACTATGAGGAAAATACATCATATGGATGTAAAGTCTGTCTTTTTTATTGAAGTTCTTGAAGAGGTTTACATTCAACAACCATTAGGCAACAAAGCCAAAAGCTAAGAAAGTAAAATTTTGAAGCTGAAGATGCTCTCATAGGTTAATACTGCCATCTAAGGCATGAAACAACCACATCGACAAGTGTTTTCTTGAGAATATCTTCATCAAAAGCTTTCATAAGCATGCACTGTACATCAATGTCAATGAGAGCCCAAGAATTTTCAGAAAGTTGTGCAAATTAAGAAGTGAAAGCATGTCAATAATGAAAAAATCAAGATGATTGATAAGAAAGATACTTGAGAGCTAGTTGTACTTTTAAAACGGCATAACACAATCAATGTAAAGTGTGTGTACAAAGCAAAAAAGAATACCAAAGATGAAGTTGTGAAATATAAAACAAGATTGGTGGCTAAAGCCTACAACTAAATAGCTAGCATCAATTATGATGAGGTATTTCCTCTTATTTCTCGACTTGAAATTATTAGGCTAATCAATTTTTTAGAAGCTAAAAATTGATGGAAAATACACTAAATGAATGTAAAGTCTGCCTTTTTGAATGGTGTCCTTAAAGAAGTTTATATTCGACAACCATTAGGCTACAAAGTCAAAGGCAAGAAGACAAAGCTTTGAAGTTGAAGAAAGCTTTTACGGGTTAAAACAAGCACCTAAGGTATGAAACAACCACCTTAACAAGTATTTTCTTGAGAATATCTTCATCAAATGCTTTCATTAGCATGCCTTTTACATCAAAATCAAGGATAGAGATATTTTGATAGTGTGCTTGTATGTGGATGATTAATCTTCAATGGATGTAATCCAAGTATGTTTTAGCAGTTCAAGAAAGTGATGGCTAAATAGTTCAAAAGGTCAGTCATTAGACAAATGGCGTACTATCTCAAAATTGAAGTTAGGAAATGGATGAATGCATATTTATTTCTCAAGAAAGCTATTAAAAAAAAAACTCAAGAAATTCAATATTAATGATTTCAAGCCCATAAGTACTTTGATGGAAGGTGGAGGCAAGGTATTTAAAAATCAAAATTCAGAAATGGTTAATTCGACCTTTTTCAAGGGCTTGGTCAGAAGCTTGCACCACCTGACTTGCATCTAGTTCGACATTCTTTATTCTATTAGACTTGTTTGTTTTTACATGGAGGCTCCAACTACAACTCACTTGAAGGCTGTCAAGTTGATTCGTTGTTATATCAAAAGTACGATATACGTTGACTTATTTTATTTCTCATGAAGGAAATTAAAACTTTTGGATACAGTGATAATGATTAGGTTAGAGAATTGGATGGGAAAAAAAGTACAACTAGGTTCATGCTCTATATGATAGACAATGTTTTTAATTTGATGTAAAAAAAACAACCAGTTGTCACTTTCTCTACTTTTGATGTTGTGTATGTTGTTACAACATCATGTATATATCATACAATTTGGCTCCAAATTTTATTTGAGTTAAGATTTCCAAAATAAGAGCCAACAAAGATTTGTGTCAAAAATCAAGTCCGCTATGGCTTTATCCAAGAATAATTATTTTCATGGTCAAATTGAACACATTAGCAAACTCTATCCTTTTATTAGAGACTGCATCACAAGAAAAAATGTGCAAATAGAGTATGTGAAGTCAATTGATCAAGTAGTTGATATCTTCACCAAGTCACTCAAGTATGAAGATTTTATCAAGATCAAAAACTATTTTGGTTGACAAATCAAATTTAAAAAGGGTTGTTGAAAAATTAACTTTATTTTTGGCCCATATAAAATTGCATTTTATTTGAACCCATAATTTATTCTAAAGACACTTTCTAAATGAAAGTTCTAGAGTATTCTAGAGACATGTTATGAAAGTGTGATTTAGAAAATTCTAAAATAGGTAATTAATGACCTTTGTAACAGAAGATAAAATAATATTTTAGAGAGTCAATAGAAGTTGTTTGGCATATCAAAAAAGCTCGTCATTCGCGAATAGCTTGTATTCGACTTCGTAAATAGTTCATTTTTTATTCGTTTGTTAAAAAAACGAGTCGAGCACGAAAAAAATTTTTGAGCTCGATTTTTAAACAAGCCAAACACAAACAATTTTTTGCTCGATCATGTTCAAAGTAATTAAATAATAAATAAACAATATGTAAAATACTAAAATAATAATATCTTTGATATGATATCAAAAATTCACTTGTAAAATAAAAATAAATAAATAAAAATTAAGTGTTATATATGTAAATACATAAAAGTAGGTGGTATGTATTTGAATTCCCTTAGAATTTTTCTAAATCATGCCTTGTCCCTACTCTGTATTTAGGTGTTAGACTTAATAAATACATAAAAGTTGGCTCGTACGTATGTAAATGGCCCTAACCAAAATCCCTGCCCCATCGGTTGATTTAGCATTTAGGTGCATGATATGTAAATACATATGAATTAGCCGTTATTCATGCAAATATCCTTAAGAAATACTTCCCCCTCTTTCCTTCCACGCCTTGCCTTTCAATTTATTAGTTCATCGCAATAGTCCCACATCGGGCCTATTTGAGATTTAAAATGACCACTTAAAATGCGAAAGGAAAGCTCACTCACATCATAAAATCTATGGAAGTTTGAAAATTGAGATATCTTTTGCTATATTATTAATACTCGTAAGAAATAATTAATTTTTAAGTTTTTTAATAATAATTTATCTTATTAAATTGTTTTAATTTGATTACATAGAAAAAAAAATTTTGTGTGAAGCCAACTCGAGCTGAACACGAGCTAATTCAAACAAATAAAAAACAATTCAGTTTGACACAAATAACATGATCATGAGCCAACTTGAACAGAAATTCGTTTCAAACAAATAAATTTTCAAATGAGTTGAACACGAACAAGCTCCGATCTCGTTCAATTTATTAATAAAGAATTATTTATTATATTGTTTTAATTTAAATGCATTTTATAGTCGCATATAAAAAAATTTAGAAAGAGTTTGAATCCAACTCGGGTCAAGCTCCAATTTGAGTCAAACACGAGTTAATTCGAACAGATAAAATTTGAATCAATTTGAACGCGAATAACATGTTCATGTGCCAATTCGAATTTGAGCTCATTTCAAATAAAAAATAATTTTGAATGCACCAAACACGAACAAGCTTTAAGCTCGCTCAAGTTCGGCCCATTGACACCCCTAATAGCCATATGATTGAAAAGTGTCGTCACAATTCTAATGGGAGATGTCGCTAGTATAAATAGATGTTGTGTTAGAGTTTGAAGCAAGTTGAAAAAGATTGAAATAGAAGTGTCTTTCAAGTTTTACTCTAGCATTCTATTTCTAACACATTTCTCTTTAACAAATTAAAAGGTGCAACAAATGTCACTAGTCGAAAATATTATAAAAGATGGCAACATGAAGCTAGAAACTACAGAACTAGTTCAATGCTCTTCAGTAAAATTTCAGATTCCTTCGGTATAGTTGAAAATTATATTGGAAATATTTATTACGCAATTTATTTTGTGGAAGAAAATAGATATTTTGAAAGATTATTTAAATATTACATGCTATTTCATACTTAAAAGCAAGAAAACAACTATTTTTACCTCTATTGGTCTATTAAATATGGTTATAAAAATTCTTTCTTGCTAAAACTTTTCTTGAAAAGTTACAAGAAAATTATAACTAAAATACCTTGACAAGTTTCTCGAAAATAAAATCATGAGAAAGTCGCCCAAACAACCGCAATTTAAAATTGGAATGCATTTTAAAAATTTCTAAATAGGCTTCAATGGTGAGATAAGGTTACATCGCTAAGAATGCATCTTCTCATTATGTGACATAAAAGCTATTGATATACGGTTACCTCGATATAGATTGACTTAGTTGCCCAAAATCATGCACATGCATATCCAAGATATTATCCAAGTTATGCTTTAAGTTTGTTAACTTGTCTCATTGGAAGTAGAATAAGATTCTCCTTTTCTCTAAGAAAAAAATATGCATTCTCACTTTTCATGGACTAATTACTGATGGTGGTAGGTGTTACAATTATCCCTGGAGACTTTTACAAACTATTGATATACATAATAACATATTATTTCTTAAGTTATATGCTTTGTGCAATACTTTAATTCATATATTATCTTGATCTATCGCTTCTTTTGAGCAAAAATAATCTGATTGATTTTATCAAAAACTCAAAAGCCTGATTGAAGGTCTATACATTTTATCTACAGGTTATTAGTCTTTCACTCATAACTTGGCTTACTTGGTTTATAGCGGGTAAATATGGTGGCTATCCAAAAACATGGATTCCATCATCAATGGATAGCTTTCAACTTGCCCTTCAGTTTGGTATATCAGTGATGGTCATTGCATGTCCGTGTGCACTCGGCTTGGCAACTCCTACTGCTGTTATGGTGGGAACTGGAGTTGGTGCTTCTCAGGGTGTGTTAATTAAAGGGGGTAAAGCCCTAGAGAGTGCTCATAAGGTAAGGAATCAAAACTTTCTTAGTAGTATTTTGAAGCACACTTGAATGCAATCATCTCATTTTATCAATCTAATTTAATTCTAAAAATAAAATAATAAATTGTGTTAGATAATGATCAAATAAGATTTAAGGTGGATGAGATCTAATTAAATGATTTCTTTAGCCTTTCACAAAAGTATTATTTGACTAGATTTTGCCAAAATATAAATTTTTAGTGTTGTTTTCCATCAAATATTATTTACATTAAAGATTACTTAACCTTGTCAATCATTGAAGTCATGGCACTTAATAGTTTAAAATATTAGAGTTCAATAAATGATTTTACTTCCATTCCTAAGTTTTATGGAATTGAGGAAATATTGACAGCCACATAATTTTAAGAATTTAACACTTTCAAGGTTTCCGAAGAATTAATTTCACAACTTTCTTAAATCATATATTATATTCATTATAGATAACCCCATGTAGGCCCTAATATGTGTCTACACTAGTTCCCTGAGTTTAATGATTAAATGTGCTAAAACTTACTCATATATGCTAGTAAATATGTTTTGCTTATTGATTTGCTAAGTTTTGATTAATTTTCTTGTATTTAGTTTCATAATAGATTTAAGATATAAAAAATGGGGTATATGGTTTTGAAAAGGTAGTAGTCGAGGGATTTGGATAAAGTTCTTTAGTAGGTTCACTTGCATCTGACCAACAACAATTTTTTTTAAAGATAAATTAACTAAGAAATCAGGTAGTCTCTTTTTGACAATAGATCCATCAAAATTTAACTTCTACTTGTTAGTATCTACCAAATTATGCTTCTAAATAATAAAATTAACAATGTAGTAGTACTATTTACAGATGTAATAACTTAGTGCTTCACACCAAATGAATAACATATCTAATGTTGCTCAAAAGTCTATTATGTTCATTTGGTGCATAGAATTTCAAGCTCATAGCATATTTTTCGTATATTTATTTCTTTTCCTTGACAAACTTCATAAAAAAACTAAGTCAAATAATTATTGTTGGCTCATAATTTTTATGGTTATTTAATGGCTTAGAACTTTTTTCTGTAGGTGAATTGCATTGTCTTTGACAAGACAGGAACACTTACAATAGGGAAGCCTACCGTTGTTAACACAAGACTTTTGAAGAATATTGTATTGCATGACTTCTATGAATGTGTTGCAGCTGCGGAGGTTGGTATTTTTTTTCCTTCAACATAATAGAAAGCCTTAATTTCTAGACTTCACAAAAATTAAGGATAATTAACATGCTAACAATAATGAAATATAACAGTTGAGCAACTATTGCTACGCTATTCAACATTGAAGTAAAAAAAATTGTTTTATCAAATGCATATCATTCTCTTGTAGGATTTGTTTAGGAGAGCCTACAGTATGATATAAAAAACTTTTGTTTCCTTAATAGATGTTACTTATATAACATAAAATATCTTGTGCAACCTAAAATAGGTGAACAGTGAACATCCGTTGGCTAAGGCCATCGTGGAGCATGCAAAGAAGTTCAAGGAAGAAGAAAACTATACTTGGCCTGAAGCACGAGACTTTGTTTCAATCACAGGTCATGGTGTCAAAGCCACTATAGGAAATAAAGAGCTTGTAGTTGGGAACAAGAGTTTGATGATAGACTCTGGCATTCAAATCCCACAACAAGCTTTAGAGCTCCTTGCAGAAGCAGAGGAAATTGCTCAAACAGGAATTCTTGTTTCCATCAACCATGAAATTCTTGGTGTGATTGCAATATCTGATCCTCTAAAACCTGCTGCACAAGATGTAATATCCATTCTCAAGTCTATGAATGTGAGAAGCATTATGGTAACTGGGGACAATTGGGGCACAGCAAAAGCCATTGCCAGAGAGGTTGGGATAGAGACCATCATAGCTGAAGCAAAGCCCGAAGAAAAAGCAGAAAAAGTAAAGGAACTACAGGTATATCAAGATTCACTATCAAGTTTTTTTTAATTAGCATTATCTATCAATGCAAATTCTTATAAAATTTTGTTATATTTTCTAGATGACCGGTTTAACTGTGGCCATGGTTGGTGATGGAATTAATGACTCACCAGCATTAATTTCAGCTGATGTTGGAATGGCCATAGGTGCGGGAACTGATATCGCCATTGAAGCTGCAGATATTGTTCTCATGAAGAGCAACTTAGAGGACGTTATAACTGCTATTGATCTCTCAAAAAAGACCTTCTCTCGAATCCGAGTGAATTATATATGGGCACTTGGCTACAACATCATTGGCATTCCCATTGCTGCTGGAGCACTTTTTCCATCAACAAAGTTTCGCCTCCCTCCATGGATTGCAGGTGCCTGCATGGCAGGCTCATCTGTTAGTGTAGTCTTATGTTCTCTCTTACTGAAGAACTATAAAAGACCCAAAAAGTTGTATTCCCTCCCTATAAGAGGTATTATGGTTGAGTGAAAATGCTTTCATGTAAATAAGATTTGTATTCCTATCGCTATTGTGTGTATGATAGCTTGTCTTATTTTCTTAAAAAAAAAATAGCAAGAACTAAATGATGCTTATGTTGTTCAAATCACAAAATACTATAATGAAATACTAAATGTGGAAGTGAAACCTACATTTCTTCTAAAAAAGAAATGAAACTATTTATATTTAGAGATAAAAATGTAAAAATCTTTTGATAATTTGCCCTCTTGTTAAAATTTAGAGTATTTTCGTACCAATTTTTTACCATAATTTTCTAATTTATTAGTAAGGATAAATATGATTTAAATTTTATTATAATATTAACATTTATTTGATGAAAATAAATAAAAAGTAAATGATGTATCACATGAAGATATATTTCATTTAGTCTTTGGTTCATGTTTTAAAATAAAAATTTCTTTTATTCTTGCACATAGTGCATCATTTAATCATGCCTGTAGAAATTTGTTATTATTGAAGAATTGAATAAGTTGACAAAATGATTAACGAGGCTAGCCTACAAATGTAAGAACAACTTGTTCAAAATGAAGACTATTGTGCTTACAAAACATGAGATGCTAACCTTAATATCCCAAATATAAAGTTTAAAGAACAGGTTGCAGAGAACAGAGAGCCAACAACTACAAAAACAATAAAGCCTTAATCCCACTTCGTGGGGTCTATCTACTTGAATCTTTTTTCTCCATTGCATCCTATTTAGTGTCATATTTTCATTTATTTCTAACAAATTAAGATCATTTTTTATACAATATACCCAAGCCTTCCTAGGTCTAACCCTGCCTTTCTTAATATAAATTGAATCTAAAATAGAGAGCCAATAAATAAAATTTTGATAGAATAGGAATCATAAAAATTAAAATGAAACCAAGAAAATTAAGGTAAAAAAGCAAACATATAATAAAGTGCATAATCTCAATATGTTTTTGGCAGGCTTACCTAAATGAATGAGTATTTTAACTGATACTAACTAGATAACAAAAAAAAAAATCACCTTTGCCAGAATATACCTAAAGGACATGTAAATATTTGTCACAACAACATTTCAATAATCAGAGGAAAAATATGTAAGAATATCATTATCTGAGGTAGATATAAAGGAAAAGCTTGGGTGAAAATTATGTAGAACAACTTTGATAGGAAGCTTCACAAATATTTACTCACCATAAGTTCATAGGGATTTTGCATGTAGTCTGTAACATGACATCATTTATTGTTTTTGTTGTTAAGACCAATTATTGTAATAATGAATAATATTTAGAAAAATAATTTATTATTATCCATAGAAGGTATAATAAAAATGAAGTTGATTTGCAGGATCCATATACATTAGAATGTGGTTCTTATAAAGTTTTACATTTTGAAAGCAAAAGAAGTTAGCACTTAAATATAGAATAAAGGGATTTTTTAATTTCTAAATTCTAAGACTTATCATTAAATAGTGTCTATTATCATCCTGCATCCAATCCAATGAGAACTTTAGTGAATTATTTTCCAAGAACAATGAAATCATTTGCCTAGTTCAATAAAAAGGGACCATATGTGATGTCCATACAAGGTACAACTTATGTTCTTAGAAGTAGTCATAATGATGGTTCAGAACGAAATAATGATAAGACACTAGTTTCTTAGGAAGAGATTAATGATGAATAAAGTGGATTAATGAGAAGTTTCGTTATCACTAATAATAAAGATTTAATAAAAATTTGTATTCTTTATAATGTATGTACTTTGTGATGAGAAATGGTACAAGTTGTTTATAAATCATTGCAGTTCCATAATATGATATCCATCCAATGGATAAGCTTTTCCATAAGGTATTAAATCTCGAATTACATTTTTTTAAAATTTTTATGATTTACTGTATTATAATATGAAATTGTATGCATAAAAGTAAATTTAATATTCACTTAGGTGCATTTGTAAATTATAGACTCAACTTAGTGTTTTGGCCCTAAAGGCGAGCCAAGATATTGATGGTAGATCAAGTTTAATGATATTTTTTGATAGTGTTGTGCATTAAAATTGGTGTCATTAAGCCAATTCATGCTTAACACTAGATTATTGGTTGCCATGGTTTCATTTTTGCATCATTAAAAGTATGAAGCTAAAGCTATTCTCTAGACACATCCTAGCTAACAACTTGAAAAATGGGCATGACATGCCAATATGGGAACCATGATACTCGTGCTTTTTCTACTCATGATATTTTCACAAAACAACTGAAAAAATGTGAGTATAAACATTAGCCCAATAAGAATAATGATAATATAAATACATCATCTTACTATGATTAGTTATGATTAGTTGCCAAAATTAAATTAATCAAGGTTTTATAACAATATCAAATTTAATGAGGCATCAAAATCAAATGAACTGAGTTCTAACAAAAAAAATTACTAATGATTAACATTAGTCAACAACATCTTGACATTAAGAGAAAGAGTTGTGGGTTTGATTTATGATGTTCAATAGTACTGCAAAGAAGGTTGTTCAATCAAATCAGTTTATGTGTCGATTAAGTAATATACGGAAACAAGTCCAAATATCAATCCTACGAGAATAGTGTTAAAATATTTTTAATATGCAAAGTGCTAGTTTACTAAACCTCTGTAGTTTGAAGTGATAAAAACACAAGAAAGGAGTCTAACAGTCTTAAAAGTACGTTAGAAAAAAGTGGTAAGAAAAATTTGAGTTATTTAAATATGTAGTATTCAAATGTCTCTAACATCGGTCATGTGATTTCTTAAAGTTTCATATGACACAAACAATTGTTGGAAATTAGGGATAAAAGTTTTCTCTTTAAGCCTTTACTTAGGTTAGAATAAGAATCAAAAGACCATAATGTTATGTTTCGCTTAACCCTTTGGAGTTTCTTAGGATTCTTATTCCACATTATCTTAGTTGCAAAACCCCAACTTGAAAATGCCTATTCTATTAGGTTTTGTGGTTAACCTACTTGCTCTACTACACAATTAGCAGAAGTGATGTTCACGAGGGATTTTAAAATTTTTATCGTGTCTTATAAAAAAAGAAGTTATAAATGAAAGGTTAACATATCAACATAAAAAATTCATGCAACGAAAAGACATTGATTGAACTAAAAATCACAGAATAAAAATCACAAGAAAATCACATTTCGTACATCACAGAAGCATAAAACAATGTTAATCACAATGCATGTGAAAATAAAAAAGTAAAAAATTTTATTGCAGAGATAACAATAAAGATTAATGTGCAAGAGTTTCAGAACACTCACTCAGAGCCAATCAGCTCTTAGCAATACACCATTCTCCTCTTTGATCATTTCAAGCTCTCGCAAAAATCCTCTCATTAATATGCATTCAATCTCTTCTTACAACATCATCAAATCCCTCAAAAAAACATGAAAAGAGAAAGAAATAGGAAAAAAACACACTCTTTTGAGTGAACCTAGGGGGAGAAACCCTTAGAGCTCCAAAAACTTCCTTAAGCCATTGAGGCTCACCCCCAAGGATAAAGTACTTCTATTAAGATAAAGAAAATTATATACTTAAGTATTGCATTAGAGGTCCAAAGTAAGCATAAAACTCTTCAAATTCGTAAATTTTTAGAACTCAGGTGTTTAGGTGCATCAACAGATGCGGGTGTGCATGCATACATGTGCGGGAGTGCACGTGACGTGTAGTGTGCACACATATGCAATTTCAGGCGCACTAATTTTCATGGGTGCGTACGGGTGCGTAGGCATGTGCCCTCAAGTGGGTGTACTCAGAGTGTGTGAAGGCATGGATGCAGGAATGAATGGGGCGTGTAGACGGATGCATGGGAATGCGGGTGTGATGGAGAGGTTGCGTACAAGTTTACACAGATGAGGGTGTACGGGTACACTTATGCGCATTTGTGCACTCGTTCTAGCACAGGTGCACGTGTGGGCACACAAATACTTGTCAGCATGTCCAAAATCTTGATTTTCGACATTGTTGCTTCTCAATTTACCGCTTTTCCTTTATGAAGTTTATAAACCCTATATTCTACACATCACAACAAAATTATATTTCTTAAGAATAATATCATGATAAATAAGAGTGAACAAGATATTTAATGTAATGAAATTACATAAATTTACCTCATATCAAATTCATAAAGATGTTTTGACTTGGAAATTATATTAAGTTAACTATTTAATTGGAGAAAACTTGCGTAATCATACCTAACAGTGTATTTCATTAGTCTCTAAATAAAATAATGAAATTTGTTTGTTAAAACATGACTTATAATTATTTTTTAGATAAAATAATTGCAATTAATCAATATAACAAAAAGAATCATATGGCTTACAAATAAGATGAAATTATATGTATTATTATATAAATAGTTACAATATTTTAACCAAGAAGAATTGATTTGTTACCTGATGTTTTCATATAAATTTCCAACTTTACGGTGTAGCAATGTTAAAGGATTTGATTTTGAGGAATCTTATTCTCCTGTAGCATAATTAAAAGCTATTTGATTGAAATTGACATTTGCATGTTTTAACGGTGCCAAATAATATTTTATCGATGACAAAAGTGCTTTTCTAAATTAAAATAAATAAATAATTATGTAGAGCAAGACCCATTGGGTCTTTACAACCCATATCACATGTACAAATTGAAAACAGAGTTATAGCTTTAAAGCAGACATTCAGAACATAGTATTAAAAGTCTTAATTATTGGTTTGGGTATTAATAAATATAAAATTGATCTGTATATATATATATATATATATATATATATATATATATATATATCCCATCTTTGGTCGACAATGCATTTCCTAATTCAGCAAAGAGTAGTACTATTAGGGTTTCCTTCATAGAGAAGCTCCTCTGCTGGCTGGTAAGTTGGAGGTGTAGTGGTTTCTACTCTTTGGGAGCCTTTTTGGAGCCTCTTTCACTCTGGGCTCCCTGCTTGTTGCGATTTCTGGTTTCCCGGGTTCTCTACTTTTTGAATTTGGAGCACTGTTTCGTTGGTCTT